GTCTCTTCAAGAGTCACTTCATTACAGAATGACATTAAAAAACAGACCAACACACACAAAGAAGCTATTTCAGTATGGACCTCTCACAAACACAATGATTTTAATAGGTCTACCAACTACCCTTAGGAATAGTTCACCCCAAAAATTTAAATTCGCTGAAAATTCACTCACTGTCAGGCCGTCTAAGATGTAGATGGGCTTGCTTCTTCGTCAGAATAGATTTGGAGAAATGTAACATTACATCACTTGCTCATCAATGAATCCTTTGAAGTGAATGGGTGCCAGAATGTTCAAACATGTGCCAAGTTCAAACAACTGATAAAAACACCACAATAATCCACAAGAAGTGGAAAGCTGTGTCCATCATTAAGGCATTTAACTTTAAACCACTTTGGCCAAACGACAAGTCTATTCGAACTGTTTTGAGCCATTTTCACTTGAAAATAATGCTTGATCTGTGCATATTTCTCCCATGATTCAGACAAAACTACTGTTTATTGATGGACTGGAGCCATGTGGATTACTTGTGGATTATTGTGATGCTTTTTATCAGCTGCTTGGACTCTTATTCTGACGGCACCCATTCACCGCAAAAGGATCCATTTGTAAGCAGGTGATGTAATGCTAAATTTCTCCAAATCTGTTCAGATGAAGAAACAAATCTACCTCTTGGATGGCCTGAGGGTGAGTTAATTTTCAGCCAATTTTCATTTATATTTATATTCCTTTAAACCCCATTCCTTTAAAGCATCACAGACCTGTTACATTCTTAGATTTACAGAGCAAAAAAAATTATTAAAAATAAGCTTTTTAAATAACGAAAACCACTTGAAAGGGAAAGTGTAAAATCACCTGGTATAAAGACTTACATTTTTTATCTAAAAGTAATAGAAGCATGTTGTAAGACAGCAGCTGACCTTGAAGTAAATGTTAAACATTGGTTACATCCATTATTGATCCACATTAATGAAACTAACTGCTGGATGTTTAGGGTCGCTCAGTAGGAATCACAATGGTGCAACAGTCATATTCAGAAGAACACCCACACCCTCACCTCAACTCTCAATCCTACACAAGCATGCGCCCAAAAGAGGATTCGCTATTCATCAACATATCACTTATGCCAAGTGAAATCACAGAGAACCCACTCCAAAAGTCAATTAACCTGCACATTCATGCAATCAATGACAGCTATACAGATCCTACACCTTGGGTGAGAATGAAATCTGTACTGAAGTCTTACCCGGTCAAACACTCGCTGGCTGTTGTGAGTGTAATAGCCCATTTAACAGAGAATTGGTCCGGCTTAGTGTCAGTAAACTTTGACTTCAATCTCATTGTTCTCACATCATATTTGAACAACACCGTTATTCCACATTGAGTAGTGTGAGGTGGGATTTGGGAGGGATGAGTGAGGTTTAAATCTTTTAAAGAGTTTGATAGTCACTGCACAAAATCAAACACGCCAAGGCCCATCTCATTCCAGACATCGTTTTACAGAATAATGTTGCTGAGAAAGAGAAAGTGAGACAGAGATGAAAAGAGAACAATTATTGGTTGGCTGCCGGCGGAATCGGCAGATGCTCATCATGTCATATCTTGGCAACCATCATTTCATTTCTCAAAATGGCACAATATCATTACCTCTGTCCTCCTCTATGACGCAAATGCACGAGTGCTGATTTTAAGTAATAGATGTGTTTGTTTAGTGCGTAAGGTCAAGGAGGAAGAGAAAAAGTGGTATAGTCCCACACCCATCATCCTCCTGCCATGACGTGTTGATTGATGAATGGAACACAAATCACTCCATCTGAAAAAAGAAAGACAGCGTGAAAGAGACAGAGACATGCTGTCAACCAAATAAAACCTACAAATCTTCCATTTCTTGCATTTAAGATCTTAAAGGCATAGTACACTTTTTCTTCTTCTCTTTCATTCAAACAATGAAAGTCAATGGTGTCCAGTGTTAGGGACCCCACTTCCTTTCACTGTTTTGTTGTACAAAAACAAGTATCCTCAATTGTGTTACAGAAAGAAAGTAAGTCACCTGATACTGTATGAGTGTGAGTAAAGGATAACATAATATTCATTTTTAGGTGAATTATGTCTTTAAAGCTATATGTATTATTTATTATTCTCTCTGAAATACTTGTTTCTTGTTAGTCCGTCGTGACATTCTGTCACAAAGCTAATCTTGGGGGGCCTGCTTTGAGTAGTGTGAGGGTTCGTGTGTGGATAAAAAAAAAAAGAGGATGGCACATATTTGCAAATAATGACTGTTGTCCATGGTGGTGATTTATAAATGATATCTTGTCCGGGAAACCATGTTTCCCTCTTGTTCTGTCTCTCTGTGGTCCTCAAAAGTAAGCTAATGAAACAATTCCAACTCAGATCAATATTTCAAGTCCATTTATTAATTTATTTGATAAGTAGCCATGTAACAGGTAATTATTACATTCAGTAGGGCATAGGCTACACCCCAAAAACATCCTTTAGGGTGACTGTTCACCCAGTCAGGGTTTATTTAATGACCATCCGACTGTTTATTATTCATTACATATTTTCTGCAAATCACAATCCTAGCTGAATTACTTTCGAAAGAAATATCTCATTATTTCCATCAATGAGTTCCTGTATCTGTGTCTCTCTTAAAACTGTAGCTAATCATCTCCACCCCGCTAGAGTTACAGTGTTAATCATAAATGCTTCTTTTACAGTTCCTCAAAATTACTTTCGCATTATAGCTTCTTAATTATACACATCTCCTTATAGCCCAGATAATCATCTCCAGCAGCATGACGGGGGGAATATCAGAAGATTTAACAGACCGCTTAGAGGCGCTGTTGTTTGCTGAAAGTCATCTGATGTCGAGAAACCGATGCCTGTGAGTTTTCTAATGCGAGGCCAATCGTGAATGATTAAAGAGCAACAAACAAACTCTAATGTCATGTTACACGTTTCAGGAGAATATAAGCTTTTTTTTGGAATATTACAATCTCTTTTGAGAGCTTCCTCTCAAAAGCACTGAGAGAAAAGCACTGTCGGTTATTTAGAACTGTCAGCGAATTAGAGCATAGCTCAAATTAGCAGCCTACAATATTATAATATGCATTATTCATTAAATTTGCCCTTGAGGTGACAATTAAAACATAATAATAGGCTATTCGTCTTGTCCCTCAAATCTCTTCTCACACGCTTCTCAGGTCGCTGTTCTTCCGCTAGAGGGCGTATAGTGCATATAGAAGAGACCTACAGCGCGAGAGCTTTCAACTCATTGCGACACGAAGACAACTTGGTAACCGTGTGACAAGAGCATAACACAGCGCCCACATATTACCGTGTTAATAACGGAGGAAAGAAAAGGAGAGCATTCCGAAATGAGAGTTTGTTTCTTGATATCAAACTCTTGTTACTGATATGAGGCTCGCTGGTAAACAATCGGATGATACAATCTCATTAGATGCAAACGGGCCAGCGCAGAAGCCACACTGTAAAAATGTTACATTTTCGTTTAAAACCCTGCCTTGTTTGCAGGAAAATAAGTGATTATGGGATGGCATGTATTTTGCCATTAAGTTGTGTAGTTAATGCCAGTATATCCACCAAGTTGAGCTATTAAAATCTGTTTGTTACTGCAAAATGATAAGCCCTAGTGGTATAATGGAAGGCCACGTCACTCAAAGTCGGCTTGTAACCAATAATAACAAAGACAAAGCGCAACAGTGTTACAGTAACACTAAACAATATCAGGGTAACACTCATGACGGTTAAATAATGCAATAAACAACAACTATATAACAAAATACTAAAGGTAGCTTATAAAATGGTATTTGGCCAACAGTTATAATGAGATTCAAACTTTATACTTAAAAAAATTAATACAAAAAATATTTTACAGTGTGTGTGTGTGTGTATATATATATACTTTTATGTAAATATAATCCATACCCTATGCCACCTAAAATATTTTTACGATATTTTATCGTAATAACACATGTAGCCTATTTTACCTACTGTGTAAAGTGACATACAGTTAACAAGGTTTTACTGAAGCATTTTTATCTTTTCCCAGAAAATGTTACATTTTCGTTTAAAACCCTGCCTTGTTTGCAGGAAAATAAGTGATTATGGGATGGCATGTATTTTGCCATTAAGTTGTGTAGTTAATGCCAGTGTATCCGCCAAGTTGAGCTATTAAAATCTGTTTGTTACTGCAAAATGATAACCCTAGTGGTATAATGGAAGGCCACGTCACTCAAAGTCGGCTTGTAACCAATAATAACAAAGACAAAGCGCAACAGTGTTACAGTAACACTAAACACTATCAGGGTAACACTCATGACGGTTAAATAATGCAATAAACAACAACTATATAACAAAATACTAAAGGTAGCTTATAAAATGGTATTTGGCCAACAGTTATAATGAGATTCAAACTTTATACTTAAAAAAATTAATACAAAAAATATTTTACAGTGTGTGTGTGTGTGTGTGTGTGTATATATATATATACTTTTATGTAAATATAATCCATACCCTATGCCACCTAAAATATTTTTACGATATTTTATCGTAATAACACATGTAGCCTATTTTACCTACTGTGTAAAGTGACATCCAGTTAGCAAGGTTTTACTGAAGCATTTTTATCTTTTCCCACACTGAAATTTCTAGCATATATATATATATATATATATATACATAGTTTGTTTTCAGTGTTAGTGTTTCAAATTATTGCTATATTGAGAGTGTTAAAGTTTTAAATGAAACCAAAAACTCAAAACTGAGTAGAAATGACAGAAATTCTTGTGAGAAGTTCAGTGGATGGAAACATATTTCTGTACATAGCCTATATGCACCTTAAGAGGCTATTCAGTGGTGATCTTTCAGCTTCCTGTGTTTGTAATGTCAGATTGTAATCATCTGCTTGCTTATGACTCACATAGTGCTTTTAAAGGTAGCTTGGGGCTGTAGTGCTATTTTCAGGTGCTTTAATTACACTACATCACTTTAGGGTCAGTTACATAGAAGGATGTAACCACATATTCAAGATTGGATGGAAACCAAATGTAAACATTTCAGAATCAATCAATGAAAATCCTATATCGATTGACCAATAATAGGAATATATGGGGGATGTGAATGTTGAGGGTGGTTACAAGCTGGTATAACATTTCTGCTCTGATACTAGCATCTTCCTTTTTGCCTCTGAGACAAGTCATGTTATCGTAAGTGAGCCCCACATCTGACAAGGTCTACCTTACTATCCCCTGGCACTCTCTGAAAGGGTGTAGCCCTGGAGTCAAGTCTGAGGAGGGAGGGGGGAGTGTATTGGACGAGGGTTTAAGTATGCTAAGCACACAGTCGCTGGGTATCAGTGGAACAAAGGCGGTTCTATGGTTGAGGTGCTCTAGTGCATGGGCAGAGCAGAACAGAGGCCTGACCAGTGTTTTAATGACAAATGCAGAATATCAAATAAACTTGCTCTTCACCATCATTATTATTATTACTATTTATTATTGTTGCTATCTTTTAGACCAAGCACCAGAGAACTGAGCTCAGCTACCTGGTGGATAGGCCCCGTCGTGTTAACAGGTGAGATTGCTGATTAAATAAAGTGTACACACACGCTGTATTTTCATGTTTTATGGAGAATTTCCATAGACATAATGATTTTTATACTGTACAGACTTTATATTATATCCTAAACCCAACCCTCACAGAAAACCTTCTGCCTTTTTACATTAAATAATAATAATAGGTTTTATTATATACATTTTTTCTTTACAATTTATTGTTTTACTTTTTACAAATGATTTACTTTATCTTTATAGTATTTTTACAAATGGAGAATTTGGGAGATTTTATAGCTCACTTCTGGGTACAAACTGATTAAGTGGGTACACACACATTTACTTACAGTATGGGAACATTCCATAGACTTTTATTTTTTATACACAATTATAAATACTATAACCTATGACCCAAACCCAGAAACCTTTCTGTATTTTTACAAAAAAAAAAAGTTTATTTTTACATGCCATTCTTTACAAATGAGGACGTTCCTATAGGGAGTGTTTGTCAGATTTAGCTCACTTCCGGGTACAAAATAGTCCCCAAAATGATTTAACAGAATAAACTCCACATTGAAGACAAAGAAAGAGATGTATAAATGATGTGGCGCCTAGCCAAAATTACAAAATCTGACTCAGCATTGCATGTGTTATCGTAACGTTTGATACTACACAGCATGAGTCTGATTCAGAATTTGATATTGAATTTAATCAGCAGTCTAAACTATGCCAAAAGTGTTAAATAACCAAAACAATCAATACTTCTAATGGAAAAGAGCCGTACAAAGCTCCAATTACCAAATGACTACTAAACCATAAAATTTCCCTTATAGTTCAGCGTTTCAAGAGGCAGATATCGTCAGCTCTAAAGACAGCGGACATGGAGATAGCGAGCAGGGAGACAGCGACCATGACGCCACCAACCGGGGCCACACAGCAGGTGAGTTGATTCCGAGTTTCTCACCTACTGTCGACCTTAGCTAGACTTGAAAGGAGCATAAGAGGAGTGAAAGGCCCCTGGGGAATGAATGCTGAGGAGAAACATAGACATTGGGAAATTGTTCGCATCTTGGCTTTGAAAGCAACGCGACAAGCCTTCAACCGATTCCAGCAGTGGATCAATATAGGGACTGCGTGGAAATTATACATCTGTCAACAGAGCTAAACGGATTTCAGTCAATGCCGTGAAGGAGTCTGGCTTTTCTGATGGACAGGCTTTCTGAAGCATTTAATGAGTATTTGAAAGCTTCCACGGTAACGAATCCACAGCTGCCCACCACCCCACCTACACCCCCCAAACACAATTATTTTTCCATTCATATTAAATGCCAATAACGTTTGAGTGAAGCACGACGAAATGGCAATCGTTCGTTGGAGACAAATTTGATTTTATTTTGTTTATTCTTTATTTATTTATATTCAATTTGATGAGCTTTTTTGACTGCTGCTCGTTTATTGATCAAGGTGGAGCCTTACTGCTTCGACTGGATAAGGCTTTGACCTTTCTCTCCAAAGAATCATGACATTCAGCCTTCGGTTTGGCAAACAGTTAGATGATGGGTTGCCAGATATTACATATGTGCCACGCACAATGGAATACAAATTCTTGAAAAGACATGGATTCACAGTTTAGGTAACTACAGTATAAAAAAAATTCCCAAGGCCTTTCTGGGGGGCGCATTGGGGGTCGCAGAAGGAGAAAGACCGAAAGGCAGAGGGATTGAGATTTTTTAGAGCTTTTAGAGCATCAAAGAGGTAAAATGAGAAGATGTGTGTGTGTCCTTTCCTTCCCTGCTCTCCTCTGGGTGTGTGTTGGCAAGCTCGCAGTTTCTGCACTCCCATTTCAGTGCCTGTCTCCGCATAGCCAATTATCACAGCAAGGTTAAGATGAAGGCCTGGGACACTGACAGGGGTAGAACCACTGCATTAACAACCACTTACATACACACACACACACACACACACACTCGCTATCTCCTTCACACATCCCTACCTCACCTCCTTTTGTTCCTATAGCATCAATTTGGAGATATCAGACTAAATTAAGAGAATCCCAGCCAAAGGATAGAAGATAAAGACAAAGAAACGTTTTAGCCCTCATGTTGTGTAATGCACTCTAATGCTTTTATAGAGATGAAAATATAAGAAATAATAGTTAACACTTTATCACTTTATCTGTCGAGCTATTTAAATGATCCTGGGGACTCTCAGATGAGCATGAGGGTCAAGCTATAAGAGCTGGGGTCAGAGAAAGGCCATTTTCCATGATTTAGACTGTTACATCTGCATTTGTTTGCAAAGAGACAGAGGCGTGACAAATTGCACAATTAGATTAACACGAGTGAGTGATAGATTGATGATTATCTATAAATGAGGGATGTGTGGTGATGACGTTAATCAAATCACTCCTGTCGCTGTAATTTAATGCTATCAGATCCCAATCAGGCAACTCCATTTGCTCTGCACGCATACACACACACACACACACACACACACACACACACACAGGTTTGTTTTTATGGTTTATGGAGACTCTCCATAGGCGTAATGGTTTTTATACTGTACAAACCGTATTTTCTATTGTCCTACACCAACCCTACCCCTAAACCTACCCCTTACAGGAAACTTTCTGCATTTTTAGATTTTCAAAAAAACTCATTCTGGATGATTTATAAGCCTTTTGAATTACGGGGACACTGAAAATTTCCTCATAAATCGGAGCCATGTGGTAATACTTATGTCATACCCATGTTATTATACAAATTTGTGTCCTCATAAACCACATAAACATGCGCACACACACACACACACGCACACACACAGTTTATAGCTATAGTGAAAGCTAATGCTGGGGGAATAACTTAGAAACTGTAGCTACAAGATATTCATAGTTTTAAGCAGTTCAACTAGTCAAGCTACCCTCTGGAAAAGTAGTCAGCTACACTACAAGCTATTAACAAAAGGTAAATAAATACTAAGGTATTATCAGGATGCAATATCTTTTTAAATGTATATCAGATGATTTTATTTATTTAGCAATTTATACAATAAAGATCTCAAAGTACAATTAAAATACAAAACACCATACATTATTTTCTCATACAGTCGAAAGTATAGTCATAAACAATACCATTTAACATGTTTTGCTACACAAAATAGAAAATACCATTAACAAATGAATCAGTTAATATTTTTAAATGATTCATTTATCCATCTAAATAGCGGTTTGTTTTTTGGATTATTGCTTCAGCTCGCTCAGTATGAAGTTCTGTGTTCAATACAATGTGACAAAAGCAGTCATGCAGTGTTTTGTCACACTACACATGCTACCGAAAAAGATACATAATTAAAGAATTTCCTATTACTGAAAAATAGTACAGTTACTCCCCAAGACTGGCGAAAGCAGTGACAATGTAGGTGATTTCAATGGCTAGAAGCTGATTTTGAATGAAAACCCACCCTGATTGTTCTTCAAAACAAATTTACCAAAGTTTCCTCCCAACCCTACAGCAAAAACTCTCGTCCTCAGCATGTGAGCTCAGGTCTTTGGTCAGCCCGACGACAGGTGTTCAGAAGGGAAATTCTGCTCATCAGGGCTTTGGCAGTGTTTTTCCTTTTCGTTCTGATACTTTTGCACACCATTGATAAAAGATGTGATGAGGTCTCCAGAAGAGAAAATGCAAGAGAAGCGGAAAGAGATGAAAATAACACGCACACAGTGGGATTTGGAGCACATCCTGATGGAGAACAGCTTAGTTAGTCAGTGTGTTTGTACTCAACGCAGCATCTCTTTTTCTCTAGATATCTGCAGCCCCAGAGTCCATCATCTAGTCAGATCATTAATGTTTTCAATAAAGCTCCCAGCCACACTGAGGATATTTAATATCTACATTAATCGAATACAGGTCTGCAATTATAGGATTTCATGGGCAATTATGTAGATATTTTTATTTATTTAATTATTTATTGGCCATGAAGTGCAGGTGTTAATCTATAGCATACAACCTGCTACACTAGACTTTGCGAGGATGTTTTGTATTGCAGAATAATGGAATGAACCGTGCAAATGCAGTTTGCTGAACCATATCGCTGTTAGATTTTAAACGCAATTATTCTGACTGCTCAAATTTCTCTTGACAGCTAAAAAAATCATAAAATCCTTGAGGTGCACCACTTGCAATGCATAATGGATGCTGCATTGTCATGTTCTTTTTATCCAAAGAGCACTAATGCTGAACTATCAGCCCAAATTTCAGCATTTATCTCAGATTGAACCATTTAATGACTGCATTCAAACCTTGTTTTCTAGATAATTTCAACCTTAATCCTCATTCGAACTGACTTGTTTTCCCTGAGGATGGTCATTTTGTGTGTTCACAGACATACTTTGTGATTTAAATCCCGTCCAAATTGAAAATGTCTGTTTTTCTTCCACAACCACAACTCAGCATCCTCTGAGAAATCGAATCCAGTTTGTACAGAAGCATCTGTGATTGTGGTATATTACTTTTTCACAATGTTTCTCTTAATTTCTTACCTTTATGAATGATTTAGATTCACAATTCTATCATACATATGCTTTTAATGGGTTGTAAATGGGAGTAAAAGCTATAGAGATCTCAATCATGTCCAAATCAAAGATGTTCAGGCTAAATAATTGTAACAGTATTTAAAACCTAACAATCCCTTCCAATTTGTTGCTTCAGTGTGCCAGCATTTGCGTATATATCCTCCATTACCCTGCAATCTCCACCAAATTTGGATTCTGTTCTGCTAACCAGGATTCAAATCTACATCAGTATATTATTCTACTACTAAATTATGCTAAATTCATAAAACACTATTATTTTGCTGTCACCAGCATTTCCTTCAGAACATGCCAATCCGGTAGTTTTCTTTTTCACAAAGCCTACAAAAGCAGACCTCCATCAGATGAAACAATATCAGGTCCTACATGTCCTACATGAGTCTCTGCATGTGACTGTGATATCGATGTGAACATCATGCTGTGAGCTTCTGTCTGCTCGCTCGGAGGGGATATTTAGAGACCGCTGTTCTAATTACATTGAGTTTGATTGTATGCAGTCAGGTTTATCTGTGTACTTAATATTGATGATGTCACAAAGGCCTTGGATCCCTGGTTTAAAGAGATTTACGCCTCTGTGTACATCCGCATATCTCTGTCCATATATATCACCCTGATATAATGGTAAAATAACAGAGTGGACAGGTTGTGGAAGTGATCTATGGATTTCCCAACACATCTGAGCAGAGATGTGAGCTGAATGTGGGTTCAGATGTTGCGTCTGTAAGATTAGAAGTACTGAGGTGCGCAAAGGAAAGAAGAATCACATAAAAAATATCTTTAACTTTGCTTATCCCTGACAGCAATGATACAGAGAGCAAATGGAGACTTTTGCGTAAGCTTCTCAGATCTCTCCTGAGAAAAATACGCTAGTAATCTCACATATGCTTCCTCTAGAGTTTCATAAAAGATCTCAGCAATGTCAAAAACTGTACTAAGACACCAAAGTCAGCGATAAATAAAACAGAGATTTCAAGATGTATCTTCATTTTATAGCTCTATGTTAACACCAACTTTTTTCCTCTTAAGAAATTTGAGGCAAATTTGATAAATGTTTTTATACTTAAAAAAGAGCAACTTATAAGCAATGAAAGAGTAGGGTTGGTGTATCATGTCCTACTTTTAGTGTACGTTTATGCCTGGAGAGTAAATAACTTGATGCGCACAATCCGAAAGGCCTCATCACCAATTATCTTGCATTTTCTGTGCTGTCCAGTTAATGAAAGAGCCGCTGCAAACAAGCTGATTACTTTGTGCACAACATAACCAGACCCTTTGATCACTAAATAATACTTCATCATCTATTGAAGTCTCCTATAGCAATACTAATAAGCACCATGCTGTGGGTCAGAATAGCACTTTATGCATATCTGCAGGTCCCAAAGCCATGCTAATAACATGTTTCCTGGTCACCTATGCAAATCATTACAACAGTTCTGCACGAATAAATCATTATTCCCTTGTGTGCGCATTTAGGCATCAATACACACACACACACACACACGCACATATAGTATGGTCAGCTTTATCAGAAGGGCAGATTTGTGCTTTGATCTCACTCAGAAGAGCTTCTGCCACGAGGAATTAGAGATTAGAGATTGGCCTGACATGCATCCAGCCCCTCCCTCTCCGCCTCTGTAGGCCTTTGTCTTTACCTTTGTATCAAATTTCTCATATCAGCCTACAGACTCTTTCATCCTCACCTCTTTTTTTGAATTCCCTTCAAATTTCCTCTTTTAAATTGGTCTTCCTCATTGTACCTGTTTGAATCTGACCTTGGTGCATCACTGTATCTGCTCCTACTCCTTCACTCTTAAATGGGTCGTTCCTTTTATGGTACTCTGTAACTTAAAACCAAAATAATATACTTGTATTTTTAGAATGAATTTAAGAAGACATACACTCTGGTCAGGCCTAGGCACTTTTATCAATTATAACTTGATTATTTATTACACAGCAGGATCGATAGTCAGCCCTACCCCAACCTTACTATATGGTTAGGGTTAGGATTAGGGTTTGACTTAGGGTTACTTGCATGTAATTATGCATAATTTATTGTTATTATAATAGTAAGTACATTTAACGTGTAACCAAGACACCTTAAAATAAAGTGTTACCAAAAATGAAGCACAAAATATTGACGAAATTTCATATCACAGGATGTAGCAACATTGATACAATCCAGGTAAAGCTAAAGCTGCTGGATCTCATTACTAAAATGTTGTTTCAATACATAAAATATCACATTTCAAAAGTAATTTAGTGTATGTCGATTAAAAAAAAACTATCAGGATAGAAAGGGATATTGTGTAGACAGGCTAAACTACAAAATAATTGACAAGTGATTACCAGTTAAAACAATTTTCCTATTAGGCATTAGTGCAGAGCACCTAATGACATGGTAATAACTTATTTAATTGTGATATTATGATAAAAGAGCTAATATGATTTCTATCATTAATAAAAAATTAGGAGTTTAATATTTTATATAATATATTAAGACAGGCCTTGCAGGTACTGAATAATAGATCATACCATACCATATTATGCTGTTCACCTTGACTGTGATTTTGCAGAGTATGCTCCTGAATCATGTTTTGTTGGTCCTGGAGCTAGAGTTCTGTTAAATAAACATAGTCCAAACCCCATCCAAATTCAGGTTTATGCCTGATGCATCTGCACAAGCAAAAAGGTGTGCACACCAACAGTGATATCAAGAGGTGCTTGAAATGTTGTGTGCAGCAAACCAAACTTGAGGGAAGGCTGGCAGAGCAGATAGACCTGTGTTGGACTTTTTCAGGAAGAGAACGACTTCAAATAATTTTAAAAGTGAAATGTTTCTGACTGCACTGTGAAATTGCCTGTTACAGTTTGTCTGTTCACTTGTTCTCATTATAAAGAGCATTTATATACATAGTTTACTAAATAAAGACAATACTCTTTAGCAGAGAATTGTGAAATGCAGTGCACATGAGTTATAAATGATGTGATGTGCACATGCATCTGTGATGGTTAATGGTAGGTTGAATGCGTCAGTATAAACCAGGTTTAACTCTGATCCCTATTCCTACCTTTTCTCCTAGTCCAAATTTCCAAACCCCTAACCTTTGTTTTGAAGCTTAGCACATATTTTATTAGTGCTGTTCCTAGTCGGTTGATTGGTACCCACAGTTAAGATACCTAACCATTAACTACCCAAAGGGAAATGTTACAATGTTGTTAGCCCAGGAACAAGGGGTGGACTCAAACCTGCATCTCCTGCACACAACTCGATGTGTCAAAGCCAACTTGACCTTGTGGGAAAAAAGTATTTCACAAGGTAGCAATTTTGATGTGAACTGTATGATAAATGTAAGATTTTTAGAAAAAAGACAGCATCCAGTCCTCTCTTAAACATAAACATTAGTGGGACTCAAGCAGACCATATGATAAAGTACAAATTAAAATATATCAAACTCATATGAATTAGCCACCAATTTGCCAAAATGTAAATACAAATTGCTGTACAAACATTTATGATTTTTTTTTAACGTAAGCATGAAGGTCCACCCCATTTATAACTGTAACTGGGACATAAGTAAAATGTACAAATTAGAGTGCACACATTCATATGTACTAGGCACAAATTCGCCAAAACATAAGTGTGTTACGCATTGTTGTACAAAAACGTAATCAACAGTGTGTGAAAACCTTGTGAAGACTTACAGAAAACGTTTGACCTCTGTCATTGCCAACAAAGGGTATATAACAAAGTATTGAGATGAAATTTTGTTATTGACCAAATACTTATTTTCCACCATAATTTGCAAATAAATTCTTTAAAAATCCTACAATGTGATTTTTCTGGATTTTTTTTCTTTCTAATTTTGTCTCTCATAGTTGAGGTATACCTATGATGAAAATTACAGGCCTCTCTCATCTTTTTAAGTGGGAGAACGTGCACAATTGGTGGCTGACTAAATACTTTTTTTCCCCCACTGTATGTATAAAACTCACCGGCATGTTGCTAGGGAGTTGAGATGTTTTGGGTGGTTGCTTCCTTGCTTAGAGATCATAATCATAATCGCCAATATCTTCAGGTCCCTAGATATGACTCAAATCTCTGCTTAAATGTAAATCTGTGGAATTTCCCCCCCACCATTTTACAGTCCAGTAGTCCAAAAATGGTGCTTCTAATTGCTTAGAAAAGTACTAATTTTAATAATAAAGAAAAACAATCACTAAGCTTTTAAATTCTTTTTAAATTCTGTCATTTGCTCACCTTAATGCCATTTAAAATATGTGACTTCCATTTTTCTAAACAAAAAAGGAAATAGTTTAATTTCCTTTTAGAATAAATCTGTGGAATTTCCCCCCCACCATTTTACAGTCCAGTAGTCCAAAAATGGTGCTTCTAATTACTTAGAAAAGTACTAATTTTAATAATAAAGAAAAACAATCACTAAGCTTTTAAATTATTTTTAAATTCTGTCATCATTTGCTCACCTTAATGCCATTTAAAATATGTGACTTCCATTTTTCTAAACAAAAAAGGAAATAGTTTAATTTCCTTTTAGAATTTTTTTTGTTAATTTCATCTATCAATTCCTTTCTATCTATACAGAACAAATAAAGTCATACAGGTTTGAAATGACATTTACATGAGTAAATGATGACAGAAATTTCATTACATTTACTAGAAATTATACTTTTTATTTTGTACTATACTACAACATTTCATTTCGTTTTGAAGTAAACTTTTAAGTATAGTAAATATAGTAACACCATTAGTTCTACATTATCTTTGACTAACATTTCCTCTCATCTTTCCTCTGTCTTTCACAGGAGCTGATCTTTTTTCCAACTGCACTGAAGAGTGCAAGGCTCTGGGTCACTCCGACCGTTGCTGGATGCCCTCCTTCATGCCTGGCGACAATCGTCAGGGCGCCGATTACCGTAGCAACCTGCACGTCCCGGGAATGGACGCGGTGCCGGACACTGAGGTACAGGAGAGCGTGGTTCCGGGCGATGCGTGCAATCGGGCCGATGATAGATCATTCTCCACATTCGGCAAAGACAAGTCACACCACGGCACGCTCACACGCCACGAGCTACACACACTCTTACCAAGCGCCCGAGCGCCTTACAAACCCAACTATCTGTGTGAGTACTCACTCAAAATGTACGATTTCTGAACCCCCCCAGATCTGATCCACTGCCGTCATCTCTTTTCCAAATCTAACCCATGGCGCTGTTTGTATAGAACTATTTATATTTCTAAAAAAAATATATATGTAATCCCATTTATCAAAACACCCTTTCTTGACCTATTCTCTCACTTTCCAATTTGTTTTCCCCTTTCCTTCAAAAGCAAAAATCACAAAAAACAAAAACAATACATGTATAATATATGGACATATCAATAAAGGACTTTTTTGAGTGAAAGTGTGGAGTTGTGTCCAACGTTTTGTCCTCTCCCTGCCCTCTAAATTCTCCCCAAAGCATCTGAAGACACTGGTGAAAAACCACCCTATTACAAATTTGGCTCATGAATGCTGAATTTGCAACTAATTTGTCATCCAAACCTACATAACACATACTTTGTGCTGTGACTTTTCCTTAAGCTGAAATCTATCTTCATCATAATAATGTAAGACACATGGTTTGTCTACATCTCATCACATGGTTCTGCATCTCAAATAATCACAATTTAGCACATTTTCCGACTATTATGTTGCACGTTTATGCCATAATAAACAACAATGCATGGCATGCCATATAGAATGGCAAGTAGTTATTTTCCAGCTTTCATTTACACCTTATAAAATCCCACATTATTTACCTGTTTTTCATCCATGTCTGTTCTAATCACCATATGTCACAGCTCTACTGTAATCACACTTGCGACAGTCATAGCGCCCTGCCTCCTCGCCTCTGATAATAGCATGCAAACTGTGTTAGTGTACGCTCACAGCCGCTGACACATCCAGCACTTTGTTACTGTATGTGTTTTAATGCAGTATTACTACTACTGCACTAAAGCGAGGACAAGTGTACACTGTGTGCTCTCCTGTGGGTGGAGACTAAGTGTGCATGTGCATGTGTTTGTATCCTTATATCCTTATACCTTATATCCACAAGCCCCGCCTCTAGGCTATTGGCATAACTGCATTTTTGTTTTTTTATAATTGGGAATTTTGGGTTACACTCTCACAAGAAAATGTCACAATACCAAAACGTCACTCAGGAAATAATTTTTTTTATGGTGTTTCAAAGGCTTCTGTAAAGCCTTGATTAGTTTTTGATGTCAGATATGGCTTTTCATGTTATTTGATCATATTTTATTGCATAAAATTATTAATAAAATTAAAATGATATTTAAAAACTAAAATTATATTTAATAAATTTAAATACAATTTTACATGATAGTAAATTTGATCATAATTACATCAAAATTAAATTAAATGTAGATGAAATATTGAATTTACTATACATTTTATATGCTATACTTCATGTTGGGTCATTTTGACCCAGATAGGATTTTTTTTTTCCTGAAAATGCTAGCCAACATTTTTGCACAAAACTTGCAGACTTTGCTCACTTAGGGTATAACAACTTCCCCAATTTTTATTTTTTTATTTGGTACTTTGGGATTTTTTCCCCTATTGTTACACTCGTAGTGTTCCCAGTCAAAAACAACCGGCCTTTTAATAACTTCTTATGCATCTCTTGTTATGCTATATTATTTCCAAATACTGGATTTAGTCTTAGTCATTAACTTGTTTCCTTTCAATTAGCTTAATTAATCTGAGTTTATGCATCTCAGTTTTTGCGTGAATACTGCCAAAATAATTCCTTTTTCTTTCAAAAACAACATAAGCTCAGATCAATGAGGCCTAGGATCAATCAGTTCCAAAAATAAATATAAAACCAGTGAAAACAAAGAAAACAAGTTGACAAAAAAAAAAGAAAAGAAAAAAGAATCCAAGATGGTGAATATATAGCATATTAAAAGATTTATAAGCGATTTTTAAAAGCCTGGTCAATTTTGACTGGTAACACCAAATTAGGTAGTGAATTTTCAGCACAGCACAAGTGATATAAAATGCATTTTATGTACTATATTTGACTGAACAATCACACAAAAGAACATTTATACAGTTCTCACTAAAAATGTTTCAATGTAATTGTCTGAACTATGAGTGATGTTTTTGTGGTGCATGGATAAATGCAGCTACAGAGATGCTTTTCCTTGTGAGATCGGACTCAGTTTGGGAAAATAAATGTTTAGACTGGTAAGAATCTGATTTTAACGATTCATGTGTTCTCCTGTTCTTTGCCCTATAGCACGCAAAAGGATTTCCTAGCACCTTCCGCGTGGACATTCCTGAAAAAGCGTGAGTTTGCACAGTAACGCAACCGGCCAAAAGCATCAAGGGTTTCTTTTTTTAAATTTCCCTTCGTTTATTTTTTTTATTGAACTCAATCACGGACGATCTGGTCGTTCCCAGCTCTGTCGGACGTCTGAAACAGATTAAATCGGATGCGATCCGATGACGTAAGGACCCTGAGAATTCTCAGCAGGACTGAGAAACCTCGCCAAATCTCCTCCGAAAAAACTGGATGAGAAGAGGGATGAACAGAGGGAGAGAGCTCAAAAAGAGGATTAGGAGTGATGGAGAGACAAAAGGAGAAAAATTGATGATCAATGGACACGGTTGTTTCCTCACTCTCTCCGCTCTATGATCAATGTGTCTCTGTTTACAGTCCACTGTAAACTATACCAACTATCTGAGCCCTTTACCCGTTTCGACATGCACACACACACACACACACACACACACACACACACACTGTACAAACGTACTGTACAAAGAGCAGCCCAAACTATGTGCTTTATAAACTCAACTATCCGTTTTAGACTTGACTGTTTTCTATAGTCATTTATTTTTTCTTCTTAATCAGTGTGGTCAAGTGTTCTTCTGAAGTTACTATCTTTAGAAAAAGCGTGGATGCGGGGGACAAAAAACATGGAAAAAGTAAAAAAAAAAAAAAAAAAAAAAAAAAAAAAGACGATTCTGTCCTCTCATTGGCCTACAGATACGTCATCTGACATTGTGGTTATCTTCACGTGTGCAAGTGTGTACTGTTCTCTTTTAAAGCTTAAAATAATTATAAACCTATATATATATAAACATATATATATAATATATAAATATACTTTTTTCTGAACCTGTGTAGCCCATTGGATAGTTTCCTAAACACCATATTGCCATAAACCAATACAAAGTGCTGAAAAGACTTGCATTAAAATTGGGGCTTCGAATTGTGTGGCCTCTCTGTCTATAAGTGCAGAATTATTTTATGCTGTAGTCATTTGACATAATTCTTTCTCAAACGCACACAAATTACATACAATATATAGGTGAGATCAGGAGTAGTCTTAAATACAAAAACATTTTTGAACATTTACATGGTTAATTATCGCTCATGTAAAAATATATAGTTCATGATATATACAGAACAGACATTGAACTTTTGTGACAACATGCCCTACAAATTAATGGTAACAAAAATATGTTTTTGTTTTCGCAATTTGCCCCAATATAAATGTGACAACTAACTTGCTGAAGAACAAAATACTTCTTATGTGTTGTGTTGTTTTATTGTATTTACTTGTTTCCTCAACCATTTAAAAAAAAAAATGCTATTAGAATTTTAATTTGGAGGACTTTACAAACATGTTCTAGGAATGAAACCAGATGTCTGCAACCCACATCGACATTCACTGCTAACAAAAACATGTTTTTGTGATTCGACTCATCCAGTCCTTTGTGACATCTCACCCGGTCTCCTGTCTCTCTCTATATAACACACATTAGATCACAGGCTCATAGTTTCATTCAAAGCAATCCAGAACATCTTTTGCTTCTTGGCCTGAAACGATAAGCACGAGTATGAAAGACTTTGATTGCGGATGTTTATTCAGTCCTGCCACACTGACTGTGATTAGAGAGCTGTTTTGAACATTAAACTTCTCTGGCCTTTTCTCCAGTGTTTCTGATTGGCCATTAGGAAAATAAAACACCCAGTTTTATGCCATGGATCAAATCAGCATGTATGAGCTGAAAACTCCTGCATGACTAATCAGCAACAGAAAAACATCAAACACTTTATTTACTAAGAGGACACATATGGTAGAAATTCCTTTTCTCTTGCACAAACGGACACGATGAGTCTTCACAATAACAGAATGACAGCTATAAAGTAAAGATGAGGTCTCCGTTTAGACCAGCATCCCAGTGGGGTTTATCCACACCACTTGATATTGAGATCTTTAATGATTTATTAATGCTTTTCCCTGGTTGTGGTTGTTAATTTTAGTTTAGTAAAGGTTTGTTTTAATTAATATATTTTACACTATAGTACAAAAAATAAATAAAACACACACACACGTTTACTTAGCTATCTAAATGGAGACATTCCATAGGCGTAATGGTTTTTATACTGTACAAACAGTATATTCTATCGCTCTACACGAACCCTACACCTAAACCTACCCCTTACAGGAAACTTTCTGAATTTTTACAATTTATTAAAACCGTGTTTACTTTATTTTTATACAAGTTTTACAAATGAGGACATCCCCAAAGTTTTTTTTTTTTTTTTTGGAGATGTTGTCAGGTTTAGCTCAATTTTGGGTACAAATTTGTCCCCAAAATATGGTTAAGTAGGTACACACACACAGGTTTGTTTTTATGGTTTATGGGGACACTCCATAGGCGTAATGGTTTTTATACTGTACAAACCGTATTTTCTATTGCCCTCACCAACCCTACCCCTAAACCTACCCCTCACAGAAAACTTTTTGCATTTTTAGATTTTCAAAAAAACTCATTCTGAATGATTTATAAGCCTTTTGAATTACGGGGACACTGAAAATGTCCTCATAAATCACCTTCTCGTTGTAATACCTATGTCATACCCATGTTATTATACAAATTTGTGTCCTCATAAACCACATAAACATGCACACACACAAACACATTATTTTATATATTAAATATTTATTTAGTAAATAAATTAAATTAAATTAAATGACATGCCAAATTATGGGTTATCCTCCATTTTTAAATACAAAATAAAAATATATAAATACATGTACTGTATATGCACAATTTATTAAACAATACCATTGATAATGGATATAGATTGTATTTTGTAAAAAAAAACACTGTCAAGAGCTGTTTTATTAATAATAATAATAATAATAATAATAATATAATACTATAATATTATATTAAATATAATTATATTAATCTATAATTAAACATACTAAATATACTACTAATATATATATATATATATATATATATATATATATATACAGTGGCGGCTCGTCGGGGGAGGCACAGCTTCCCCATAATTTTGAGGTGAAAATGGGAGGAGGACGATTTAATGTTAATAAAATTCACAATTCATTTCAGTTCATGTCTCAGAATGTGTCGAATCTGCTGATGTAATTACAACCGCTAGTGATAGAGAAGGGTATATATATATATTGTCACACTGAGTTAGTTAACAAAAAAGAGATAATTACTCTCAGAACATGTCTGTGTTGTTCGAGGTTCTGGCTATTATGTCTTGAAGGGTCTCTGAACACATCATTGTCATTTTGAGAATGTAATGGTGACCAGTGGAAAACCGCTGAGTTCGTTTTCAAAATTCTCCTAATACCAAGAACAAGATATCTGCTTTCTCTCAAGTCACACGGCAGCCAAGAGGGTTGGGCAGGTTAAAGAGGGGGTCGGAACCATGAAATGTCAGACAGGCACAGCACCCAGATAAAAACGAGGTCAAGAGATATCAGCGAAAGACTGAATGACCACAGACAAAGACATGTTATCAGCCAATCTGCCCCCTCCTCTGGGCCCGACTATCCCACACAGACACTGCCAGAGCTGGGGAAGATCATCCCAACAAGTAAGTGATTGTAGGAGGTCGGGCTCCTCTTATCTCCTTTCGTTCTGGAGTTCATCACAAGACACACCACTAACCAGAAAGACTATCTTCAGTGTGAAAGCATGTGATGGAGGGAGAGGGGGAGGAATGTGAATGAGAGCAAAAAGCAAGCAAACATGAGCACACAAGAGGGATCAGGTTCAAATTTGGCCTGTGAAATGTCCGGTTTCCCTCTCTCTCAACCACTTTATTGTCTATTAAAGTCAAAGGGTCCCCAAAAAGGTCATCAGTAAACACAAGCCATAGAGTACCATGGTTTTTCTCAGCAAACAGAGCATTCTGTGGCATGATCATTTTACACTTTTTTTATTTCATGTCAAAGAAAACTTATACCAGTTAGAAATTTATAAAATGTTTCACTATTATTTATCCCTATAACTGTAGTGTAACTGTACACTTTTCAAAAGTTTGGGGTCTTTTTAAAAATAAATTATTATTTTTTTCAGAAAGAATGCTTTAAAGAATGCATTAAAGTGATCAAAAGTAAAGTCATGTAAACACATTTATAATGTTACAAAAAAGAAAGAAAATAAATGCTGCTCTTTGAAGCTTTCTACTCATCAAATGAATGAATGAAACAAACAAACAAACAAATAAATATATAAATAGTTTTCCACAAAATATTAAGCAGCACAGCTATTTTCAACATTGATAATAATGAGAAATGTTTTACGTTCAAGCATTAAATCAGCATATTAGCATGATTTCTGTGGAATTTTATCTTTGCCATCACAGGAATACGTTATATTTAAAAAAATAATAATAATAAATTCATAACATACATTTTTAATTGTAATAATATTTCAGAATATTACTATTTTACTGTATTTTTGGCCAAATAAATGCAGCCTTGGTGAGCATTAAATAATTCTTCTAGATAAAAAAGCACAAAGTTTTAAACGGTTCAATCTCTTGTTCATTTTATTAGTGTTTTTTCTTTCTCCGCATGTCTCTGTCTGTTTCTCGCTATTTTTAAATTCTTATCTTAGGAAGTAATGGTGACACACAAACGGCAGTGCTTCCTGAGAATGGCCAGCCACCAGCATCATCAACTTTCCTAATACTCAATGCTTGTCTAATTATATAGACATAAACATAAGAAAAGAGCAGCTCACAGACATGCACACACCTAAACAGCAAGCAGATATTCAGAAAATACAAACACAAATGCCCTATGGCAAGGATTGATGTTTTCAGCATTTAATACTACAATCCCTAACAAGTATGAGTCAAATAAACCCGACCCTGTTTTACTCTCCATTACAAACTTATTGACAGAAACGCAATGGTTTGTTACACAGGATCTCACATCAGCTAGCACAGCCAGGCTATGCACATATTTATAAAGCAATCTCACATTATTCATTATGCTGTACTGTAAGCAGAAAAGGCTCCTGCTGCTCCTCATCCACATCTACACTATTCAATAATGCCGCTCATCAGGAGCACCTTCTGAGGGAAATATGATATCAGCTTAGCCAGAGATGAATCGATCAGGCCGTAATGAACACCTGGGTGGAACTCATTTCTGTGGAGAATAAGTGAGCGAGAGAGAGATATGTTTGGACTTACATCCAAATATATTAAGAGTACCTGCATAAAGAATGACTAAAGAACCACATGTGCATTTCTTGAAGTAAATAACGGTGCTTGCAAGGCAGCAAGCGTTACCAGCTAAAGGCAGGCGGGTCAAAGGCCACGGATCCAAAGATCAATGTCAGTGCTGAACGCTCTATCAGTGCAAGTCCAAGAGATTTTAAAACTAATTTTAGTTGAGGTTACAAAAATACATAATACAGAAGTCTGAAATTCTCTACACAACAGCTGCTGGAGATTAGTGTGAAGTTGATGAAGAAATGTGAGAGATTTCAATACAATGTTTTCCTAGCAAGCACTGTATTAATAATAGAAAATGTGCTATTAGCAGCAAACTAATACAGACTTGTTTAAGAACTTCAGGGAAATATTTCAGATGAAACTGGAGAATATAAATTTTAGCAACAACAACACTTGCAAGACCAAAGCCTTTGTAATCACTGTAGACTAACTTTATATAGATGCATTATTTATTAAAACACAGCTTTCTGGAATACTGATTGGTCAAATATTTTTTGCATAATGATTGTTATAGCTATATAACTGTATAATTTACTTGTTTTTTTTAAACATGCTATCTATTTCTTTTTAGAATGCTACTGTATGCTAGTTTTGTGTCTCATATTACTGTCTTTCCTCTTAATAAAATCATTTTGACTTAAATCAATATTTAATGTCCATTTATT